CCAAGACTGAAGTATCAATCAGTACACAACCAACGGATTTATTAAAAAAAAAGAAGAAAAAACATTCTGAGAAATGTCTGGTATACATTGTATACTTGCATATAGATCCATATACAATGAACATTTTTGAAAAGTAGTGGTCCGAAGGTTTTGACCATCGAAATTATGCAATAGAAATAATAGTTAGGACCAGAAGATTTTCTTCAAGGACCACCAGAGAAAAATGATTTTGAGAACTTTCCGATATCTTTGCTTTATTCAAAAATAATCCAGTTTGGTTACTTTAAAAAAATTGAATAGACAAGATGTCCTTTTTGATCATATTCGAGACAAACATTAACGAATTTTTGTGCAGGGTAAGATTATTCTTAAAAATCAAATACTACGGTGGGGGTTTACGCCTGATTTGTCAAGCAAAATTGAGTTAAAGGAAAGAACAAAGAAAAATGTCACGAACAGAGCACACTTTTACAGTCATGTCTACCGGACGTATCTTAATTTTCTATAAAATCATCGTAAACTTCATTTAATATGTCATCCAACATAACAAAAATCTGCTATATTCGACGGCAAATTGAATTTTTGTTTTATTGATCTTCCGTAGAATATCTCCAGGATATCTCCAGATTCATTTTTTTGGACTCTTCACCAGAAGACATTCTGGAGATGTGCAGAATAGACCAATAAAACACGCCCCTGTATTAGTATAGTAGAAAGGTCGATTGCAGGATAATTAGGACATAAACACAACTAGTTGCAGTATATATACAATATTAGGTCAATGTCATAAAATATGAACTTTTTTGTATGAAGCTGAGAAACTGGGGAAGGGCGAGGTTTTACCGAGCCCTTCTCCAGTGTTGTGCCGAATACAAAAAGGTTTATATTTTTCTGACATTGACTTAATATTGTTTTCATACTGCAATAGTTATCCCATGAGGACGCGATGTGTCAGTGTAAGATCACCCCGATGGCCGGAGGCCAGAGGGTGATCTTACACTGACACACCAAGTCCGAGTGGGATAACTGTTTTACATCCCAGCTCTTCTAGACTATATGAAAAAAACATTTACGCTTCATAACATCTAGTTCAGAATGACATACAATAATTATAATATATTTTATATATTACTATATAGTATATACCCTTTATGAGCCCCGGATACAATGTTTAAATATGTTAAATTAACAATGAGCTTGTATCCAGTCGTATGAATCGTGGCTTCACATGCTTAAGGTCTTGAGTTCGATTCCCCGCATAGACACTGGAAATTTAGTGGATTTTTTCTACATAAATTTTGAAAGTTAGTGTTTATTCCGAATAAATATATCTAAGTTTTATTGTGTGTTCAACATTCCCGAAATGTTACAGAACAAAAGAAAGCATGCAGAACAAAGGTAGGGTGATCTGGTAGGGGTGATCCGACTCAGATCACCCCTGTTAGAACAAAGGAGTTGGGATGTAAATTATGTTTTCTCTTCCCCTAAGTGACTGGTCGAGAAAACACACAAAGAAACTCAGAAAAAAAACCTTTATTACTTGTAAGTTCAACAAAATGTACTAGCTATGTCCAGATCGAAAATTAGCACTTACTATTTCGCCTGTGAAGGAATCAATTCTCATGACGTCACGAAAAGGGGTTACACAGGTTTTTACTTTCTGGTTTCATTGACCTTACCGAAATCCAAGGAATATACCGTGGTAAGACTTAGTATCAAGGGAAACTTTCATTTGCACGTTCACTTATAAATAAAACCTTAACTTTTATAACCGACTATACGGTATGGGGTTTTCTCATTGTTGAAGGCCGTACGGTTTCCTATAATTGCTTATATCCACTTTATTTAAACTTTGCTGTATAGTTGTCTCATTGCCAATCATGCCACATCTCCTTATTTTTATTTTAATCTTTTATTATGTAAATAATTCACAAATAATCGGAATTTTCAAAGTCTAACATATACAAATATTTTAACGCAACAGGTTCAGAACTTTAACTAACAATAGCTAGCCATCATACATTGTGTCGGTATGAACTGTTTTATAACCTGATGTTAAATTTGAGTTTTATAAATCATGTGTTATATTGAAAGTTTGCCGCATAATTTTTGGTTGCTATCACACCGGATGTTGGTTGCTAGCACATAGGATTTTTGTTGCTATTACATAGGATTTTGGTTGCTATCACAAAGAATTTTGGTTGCTATCACATAAGATGTTGGTTGCTAGCACATAGGATTTTGGTTGCTCTCACTAAGAATTTTGGTTGCTTTCACATAAGATGTTGGTTGCTAGAACATAGGATTTTGGTTGCTATCGCATAGGATTTTGGTTGGTATACATAGATTTTGATTGCTATACATAGGATTTGGTTGCTATCACAAGGGATTATGGTTGCTATCACATAGGATTTTGGTTGCTATCACAAAGAATTTTGGTTGCTATCACATAAGATGTTGGTTGCTAGAACATAGGATTTTGGTTGCTATCGCATAGGATTTTGGTTGGTATACATAGATTTTGATTGCTATACATAGGATTTGGTTGCTATCACAAGGGATTATGGTTGCTATCACATAGGATTTTGGTTACTATACATAGGTTCTTTGGTTACTTTACATAGGATTTTGGTTGCTACCACATATGATGATGGTTGCTAGAACATAGGATTTTGGTCGCTAGCACATGGGATTTTGGTTGCTATCACATAGGATTTTGGTTGGTATACATAGATTTTGATTGCTATATATAGGATTTTGGTTGTTATCACAAGGGATTAAGGTTGCTATCACATAGGACTTTAGTTGCTATCACAAGGGATTATGGTTGCTATTACATAGGATTTTGGTTACTATACATAGGTTCTTTGGTTACTTTACATAGGATTTTGGTGGCTATACATAGGATTTTTGTTACTTTACATAGGATTTTGGTTGCTTTACATAGGATTTTTGTTACTTTACATAGGATGTTGTTTGCTATATATAGGATTTTTATTACTTTACATAGGATTTTGGTTGCTTTCCATAGGATTTTTGTTACTTTACATAGGATGTTGGTTGCTATACACAGGATTTTTGTTACTTTACATAGGATTTTGGTTGCTATACATAGGATCTTAGTTTCGAATAGTACACATAACGTGCGCACTGAAATCGTTTTCATACAGTGTTAAACCAAACGATTATAAATCATTTCAACGAAAAGTTGGAGTGATAAGTGCTTCTGAAGAATAAACATACCTTGTTTGCCATCCTAAAATTGCTAGGAATTGGCCACGAAGATATTTATTCAAACAGTACAATGAAAAAAACTCTTAGAGAAATCGTGCATTAAAATGAAATTTATTCTGGAACTGAGCCATTTCAATTGCGATTGAAAAACTATATACAACAATAGCCATGATAATAATATAAGCGCTTGTTTTACAAATAAATTATAAATTTAAATGTTGTTTACATCTATCAATGTATTTATCTTTCCTCGTTTGTTATATGAGAAGTGATAAATTTATTGTGATATGAATTGCGTTTTGTCTCTGGAATGTCATTAATTTGTATCTTATCAAGTTTGTTTATTAAAAATGTATGAAATATTCGATTTCAAAAGTGAACTTAGCTAAAAGTATACAATATATAAATAGCATAGATATGTGCATCTTAATACTTTCTGATATTAAAAGAAAAATAATCGATCACTGTCTAATATCACAATTTTGTATGCAGCTACTGTTCAGAATTTGCACATAATCATAAAATTAAATTGAGAATGGAAACGGGGAATGCGTCAAAGAGACATCAACCCGACCAAAGAGCAGAAAACAGCCCAAGGCCACAAATGGGTCTTCAACATCACACTACTTTCAAATCACATGACAATTGTAATATAATATGTACAGCATTTTCATTATGCCATACTTCATTGGCAATAGATTAGCAATAGATTATCAAGACATATCTTTTGTGCATGGAATTGAAAAATTGTTCGAACTTGTTCTGTTTATTCGGTCAAATGTATGAAACAGGTCACAGTTTGATTATCAAAAGTGCTATTTCAATCTTAATTCAATTTAAAGTTGAAAGGATGGATTGGACGATGTAAATTGGATACAAGTCCCCATAAAACAATAAGAAATATAAAACATATGTATATGTTAGAGCAATTTTGCTTCGAGTACATATTGTATATCAATGAACTTATTTGTATAGTTTATTTTACATTCAAAATACCTAATGAGTAATTTGCCTCCAGAATAAACCTATATATACGGAAAATGTTTGTACAAGAACAGTTTTGTCTTATTGTCAGTTTAGTAAGAGATTTAGCAATACAATAAACCAGGACATTAAAACATTTCTTCAGGCAGAAATTCTGTTTGTTAATTGTTCTGTCTTTTTGTCATGTCGATTGTTTACCGATAAGTTCGATTTCATATACATCATTAATTAATTAGTTTCCTCATATTTTGCCTGTTATTTTCTTTAACAAGCAAGCCTATAGAATTCTGAAATAAATGTAATTGCATTTGACTTTTGAATCGGGTGTATTGATAAGTTATACTTTATGGTGATTAGTCTGAACAAAGGTTGTGCTTGTTGGCAGTTTTTTGTTTCCTGACATTGAATGCTTCCATTAGAGGCATTGCGTCCTGCCTGGATCTGTTGAATGTCTCGTTTCCCTCGATAATGACGAAGTCGTGTAGCTTTTGTATTTAATCAGCTTACGAACGAAGTAGACAATGGCCGATATTGAATATGATGTTTAATTATAAATTGGTAGGCAACACAATAGTGCTGCTCATGTGATGCCAGTCGAGATAACTTGATTTGTTCCGAAACAAAAATGATAAGCTACGAGCTTTCAAACAATTTTGCCTTAACCAGAACAAATAGTGTCGGAAATTAAAAGGTAATTATTTCAGCACATACTTCAAGATATCACTAATGGTTTTCAACAAACAAATCAATGCATTTTTTCTAGTGTCATTGTGCCTAACACTTCAAAAATAATCAAAGTCACTCGAACGTATTTAACTGCAAAAAGCCAACCGATTTCTGCAAATGATCCCGAAATTCCAAACTGTCACGCAGGCGCAATAATCAAAACTGCGATACCATAGAATCATAATATTAACCAAAACGTTCACTTTTAAAACATTCGGATGATTGAATTACGACACAAACAGCGGATATTAATTCAGATCGATATTGGATAAATGCACATGGTACTTCGGATATTGAGAGTCATTTAACGAGAATCATCATTGGATGCTTGACGGAACTATTTAGTGATTTCAGTTTCCAAATTTATATTTTAAAACAAAACTGCTTATGAATTTGTAGAAAAAAATCTTTAATATTACAGGTAAGTCAGACATGAATGTTGTCATTTTATTTTACTTTAATCAAGGATTTGAATAGTAAGACTATACAAATCCTTGCTTTAATTCAGAAAATGTTCCTCAATATGTTATGAAAGTTTCCTGCTCTCTTTTGAAATGTTGACTAAAAACATTGATATCTTCATGCTCTTTTTTCAAAATGTGTAAAAAAACTGCTGCAGTTATTGTGGATTATTTTTAAAACACAGGTCATGTGCTAAATTACATTTGCGATAGATGCGGGTTATGAAATGGAACATTTCGGTTTATAAGGGAAAGATTTTTTGTCAGTATTAACTTGAATAATTCCACACTGATGTACATTTCGTTTTTTATGGAAATAGTTTTTGTCAGTTTTAACTTGAATATAGTTAACACTGATGTACAATATTTGACGGGTACTTGGTGAAAGGTATATACTGATTTTTTTGTTTCAGTAACAATTAACGCAAAGTAAGAAATGAAATATATTCCGTGAGTTAAAAAGTAAATTAAATATAGTTTACATGTAATGATACATTTTCTAATGTTATCTTTGCACTTTTCAAATGTTTCCTTTGATGTATATATCTTTAAAATAGATATTGTGTTCAGCATTGTCATTACAAGATGGCCATAAACATCCAAACAAAGCATTACAGCTGATATATGGAGGAAATCTTTCAAGAACTGAAGCATAACAAACCATCGTCCTTTATCACTTTTCTAGCTTTTAAACAAAAATGAAGTTAAGAAAGATTTATCATCTTTATTTTACTATAAGAACATTTTAACAGAATGTTATTCTAAGGAAACGGAACAGAGATCGCCAGACCTTCTTCCACCGGAAGGAAGAAATGTTTAATACATCCATAACAAGAAAATGACTACTTGTGGTTCTGTGCTGATTGGAGTTAATGGAAAATCGCGGACCGCTTTAACTATGTATACTTAATTCAATATCGCCTGGAATTATACGCTGCCTTGATGTTCAATATGCAGTTATCTAATTAAATGTACATCGGAAAAGGGAATTGGAATAGGTTGGTCGAACGTTTCATTAATGTGTACAATTTAACGGTTAAACATGACATTTTATCATTAAATAGATGTGTAGCTGACTTCAGAGAGATCCAAGCTGCCGTCTCGGAACGGCCTTTGGTCGATTGCGAGTCGAAATGAAGTTTTAGTTGATAAAATTTGCATGGTTCCTCAGTATCATACTATGGATTTTTGATTGAGAAACACGGTGAAAAGCAATCTCACAATTTAATTGGAATTGAAAATTCGCAATGTCGATGGGGTAACCGAAAGGTTAAAGAAATGTAAACTTGCACACAAGCCTTAGATTCTAGAACCGTTATTATATCATATTGATAGACGTAAATAGTAACTTTATACAGTAAAATTCGTTAATGTGCTATATTTAGCGAAATTTAAACAAATTCTTCAAATCTTCAAACTACATTTGTATTCATAAAATAATGAACTATAACAGTTCAGAATATGAAGAATTATTACTCTGCCAACACTTGGATTTCTTGACGACACCTTTCAATTGTAGCAAATGTGCTTAATTTCATTTCACTTCAAAGTTGTTAATAGTTATGAATATTCTTTTATCTTATTTTGCAATATTGCAAAATTCGACAAGGTTGCTAATATTGTAAAAAAAAATCATAAATATTGGTCAAAATTACACTTGATATGGAAATAGAAGTCACTGAGTAAGTTAAAATCATCTTTCATTTCTTAGAATAACATACAAGAATCAAAATGAACCTGCAGTTATTTGACCAGTTTCAATATATGAAAAACAGGTATTTGGCAGATGCAAAAACGGTTGAAATGTTTTGGATTTGCTTAAATTTTCTGGCGGACAGATTAAAATTTAAATGGAAAATATTTCAGACCACGAAATGTTGCCCTACAATTTCTATGAACAAATATCACTTATGTCAACTCAATTGTGTTACAAGATCTCTAAAACCGTTGAAATAAAATCACAAAACGATTTCCGTTAAATGAAATTGATTAACAATTTAAAATGTTCGATTACTATCCAAGTTCGTAATCGAATGTAGATAAAACATTGAAACTACAAAGTCAGCCAGGGTTGTAAATCAAACAATTATAATTTTAAGGGAGTTGATATAAATGGTATCAAAAACACACAAATAAAACAGTACGTTTTATATGACAATTACTACTCTAAATCATTTTTATAATTTTTATCCGATGATATGGTCATAAATAGTGGGACTACTTTCACGTCAAGAGAAGGTTGTTATAAAGTGATCTCCATCTTTTTGTGGAAAGATTTTTACTTGATTCTCATTAATAACTAAATAAACGAATTGCGTGACCTACATGTAATCAGAGACATATAATACATTATACATATATTGTATTATATGTCTCTGATGTACTTTTAAAGACATATACATATGCACAAGCATAAACATTAAGATTCTTAATCAATTCGTGTTTACACTAAAAATATGTAATAGCGAGATGGTGGTACAGACGTTTAAGAAGGAATAGAGTATACGGTAGATGCAAAAAAGTTCGACTCTCAAAATGGTATGAACTTTTGAAAACGAAATGTTTAACTAAATGTATACAATGAATATGTGTTTATCGTTTGAGTCTATTTCCTCTTGCAAGAATTTACCAAACAGATATATGTTTATAATATTTTACACCCAGTTAAAAGGGAATATTATTCATAAAGCAAACAAGTTTAAGGATTGTTTCTCTTACTTTTTCCGTATCAACTCTGTACATATTTACTATGGTCATATCATAGAATCATGTCGTTCCGCACTGTTTATGAATTTGTTAGCTAGTATTGCACATGCTTGAGTTTTCAGGGTTGTATATACTGCATGTTGATATTTAAGCGTGTGCTTTATAATAAGTTGTGAGCTGCGTGGTATTTTTAATTTCCAGTGTTATTTAGGTTTTCGACTTTTAAGGGTTTTTTTTGCCCACTTTGTTTGGTATTTCTTCTATTAGATAAAGGTGTTAGTTCTGATCATAACATCGTGCACTTACGTGTTTAATAGAGAACAAATAAACAAAACGACTACTAAGTTACGTTTTATAAATGATACATTGACAGAGATGTTTTTACTTAACATTATAAGTATATAAATGTATAAGACTGGATTGTATTGAGTTCTATACAGTTGTTGTTATAAAACCTGGAAGAGTTCCGAGCGTCACTAGGAAATCAAATGTAAAACAAATTAAGAAATGAACAAGACCAAAGTTTTTTTTACTTGTAGTATTGATCGGCCTCATTTGTATCTTCTGCGTTTTTTTACTCATGTCTTTTCAAACTTTAAAAAGATTCCAAACACATTCAAATTAGTTTGATATGCCGTTTAATCTTTTGGATGTTTAGAATTGTCAAGTACAGTTTATGCACAAAAAAGTATGCATAATAAACGTACTTCGAATACAACGGTTCCGTATTAAAAATGTAATTGATTTTTCTTTTTGACATATTAACTAATAGACTCTTTTATATTTCATAGAACAGGAAATCGTTTACATTGGTTTTAATTTCCACTATTATGACACATAAAAATAGCAGGACTTCTTCATTTATTCATCATGCTTTATATTCATTTGAACGACAAAACGTTTTGTGTTGAAGAAAAATCGCCTCTATAAAAGCTTATTCTAAAGTGTCTTTGCAGATGCAAAAAAGCCTTTGGAAATCTTAAATTTCTAGTTTATTGTAACAAGAAACCGAATGACAAATAGGATTTTTGATCAGTTTAGAAATTGACTACCATGCGGAAGAATTAGGCGAGTAGAACTCATCCAATAAAAATAAGGCTGTAAAATTAAATTCATCAAAAACGCATCCTTGGATTGTAATTGAAATTAATGTAAAATCAGTTCAATCTTCTAGGTTTTAACCCAATTATTGTAATGTTTACAAAATATGATGAATTGTATCAGCAGTGAATTTCATGACATGGTATTACAATAAACTATTCAGGACCAAATCTTACAAGGTACATGAGGAATACATTTCTTTAGGATGACGAATAAAAGGGAACGAGGGCCATGTGTCAATGTCAAATAAAATTTACAGCAATCTAACAACACAAGATAAACCATCTAGAGGATAACATATAGTTTTCAACAATAGATAATATCCTTTGCCAAGCTTGGTCTCGTCCTAAACAAAATGTGAATAACATTTCGGGGAAATGCGGCATGCCTCGGTACTAAATCATTCGAAATGGGGTTAAAACATATTTTACTTAATCATTTGAATTATTCTTTACCTCATTTTTCATAAGGATATCCACTAAAGACAAAGGGGGATTTGAATGAAGATAGTAGTTCACATTTCAAAACAAATACAACTATTGTATTCAACTACGGACGAAATACTTTCAATTTTCAAGCTCTATATGTGTTTTTATGTATATTAATCAAAATGAACGGTCTGAAGTCATGTAATATTAATTTTGCTTAGCCTTATGTCCGCTAACTCTGGTACTTTACTCGACAAATAATATTTCATAAACATTGAACTGCAAAATGGCTAAACAGTTAAAAGGCATCGAAAAATTTATTTCATGTCCCTCTTCAATGCAGGGGCAAGTATATGGAAGACTGCTGTTGGTCAGGTTGGATAATCAGTCTAGTTCAGGATTGAGAACATATAAGAGAGAAATGAGATATTTTAATAGAAAGAACTGTGATTGTGTTTTTAATCTGAATGATTTGAAATAATATGAAACAGGTTTTGTTTTTCATATGTGTTAACATACATCAAATATTTTTGAAAGGGTAATAATTTAGCTTTTTCACTACATATAATCCCAAGTGCAGCATAAAGTATGTTCTCCTACTCTCATGTATGACGTAACACAAAATGCACCATACCATTCAGAGCTGTTTACCATATTACTATAAGGAAGACGACGGGCACCACTGGTGACAATGTCTAACCTTCTGGAGCACCCATTGTTACCTC